GGGGAACGCAATATTTCAAAAAAAATTCTACGATCACGCAAGATCTATCTATGGATGCATATCAACGAGCGGGAAGAGTGTGTCCACGTTCCCTCGTAGATCGAAAGCGAAAGCGTTTAGTAACGCGGTTGATGTAGTCAAACATCTTCGCGATCCAACCGATCCAAGTACCAAACGCACGACACCTCCGTGATCTGCACACGTTCAGCTTGGTGACGTCCCTCGAACTCTTGATCTAGTTGAGGCCGAGGGAGAGTTTCATCAGCATGACAGCGTGGTGACAGTGATGATGATGTTACCGGCGCAGGGCTTCGCCTAAGCACTACGACGACATGACCGAGGTGTTAACTGTGGTGGGGGCACCGCACACGGCTAGGAACAATTGATGTGTGTTCTAGGGGTGCCCTCCCCACGTATATAAATCATGAAGAGGGAGGGAGGCAGCATAAGGCGCGCCCAAGTAGGAGGAATCCTACTTGAGCCCCTAGTCTGATTCGGCCCCCTTACCATATTTGGACAAGGGGGAAAGGAAGGAGGGGGAGGGGAAGGAAGTAGAAGTCCTACTTCATACTTTCGGTCAAAGCTCACGCAAATGATGTATATCCATGATGTAAAACTCTAACTCCAACTGACGATGTAAAACTAGTGCACATAACCTATTGTCGAAACTGTCAAAGCTCACGCGCTCCCACTGCAGGTCGGGTTGCACCCTTGCTGCAGCTCGCCGGGGCTGGCGGTGATGTCCGGAATCGGACGGCGGAGGAGAGGAATGGGTAGGGGAGGTCGAGAGGAAGCCAAATCAGTTCCGGCAGCACGGGGTGGCGCTGGACCTGCCCGTAATCGACCAAAGGCGGCGGCGGAAAGGGGATCAGGCAGGTGGCGGGCCAGCGAGGCAGGCGATGGGGGTCCGGGGGTAGGGGAGTCATGGCGGGATCGGCGCCCGCCGAAGAATGCGTTTAGGCTAGTCGCAGCCGCCGGAGAAGCGTCGATTTGGTAGCGACCGAAAGTGAATCGGTGGCTGGGGGCGACGGGCCGGCGAGGTAGACAGCGGGGGACCGGGGGGTGGGGCCAAGTCACGGCGGGCCCGGCGGCCATCGGCGAGGGCCGGCCGCGACGATTTGGTGCGAATTTTGCCTGTGGCAGAGTCGGTCGGGTGGTGGCTGGTTGCGTGAAAGGATAAGGAATGATAGTTGGATAGTTGGCGGGCAGTCGCATTTTTACATCTCGTGTAGGTGGAGATGCAAATTTGCACTGCAACACCGGTCCGCCAACTACAACACCTTGCAGTGCAAATTTAAACATTCTGCCCGCCAAATATTTTAAGAGGTGTTGTAGTTTACATTTTTGAGAGGTGTTGTCAATCTAAAGTTTTTATATTCTAGGTTAAAGCATATTCAAAATATCTCAGTGGGGATCACGCAAAGTCTAGTGGCCAAACACGTTTAGATTTCCCGCAAAAGAAAAGACGTTTAGACTGCACCCAGAAGTCGATAGTATTAGAGGGACAAATTTATGTTCAAAAGGTAAAGCATGGAAAATAGTGGTAACCAAGCAAAATCCATGTTTCTTCAACACGATGTGGCAAGTTGTGATAAATTGGTAAGCATGTACGAGTGCATACGAGAACTTGGCACACCAACATACTTTTTGTTAATCAAACTAGATAATTGCTCATGTGTTGCATCGGAGAATAAAAATTCTAGTAGTGTTAGCCCATAATTTACCCACTCATATTATTGAGGTTGCGAAAAAAATTACGATTTTATTTGATCAACCCTTATTTTTGTAAGCATTTATTGCCTCGCTAAACAAAACAAAATTTTATTTACTATTATAAGTCAATAGATATGATATGCTAAAAAATGTCAATAGATAAGGGGCAGTTGGTGAGGTTTTCATGGAAAAACGATAGATAAAAACTAAAGGCATGAGGAAATATCGAAACAGGAAAAGGTTGAGGAGAAGAAGGAAAAACGGACATAAGGTAAGGGACAAAACGACGAGAGGACGCTACATTTTTTAGTGAATACAAGAGAAGAAAAAGATTGAGCTTAGAGCAACTCGAACGGGTCAACCCAAATAAACGACGATTTTGTTCATTTTTTATTTATTTAGGTTGGTCAGCGGACATGAATGTCCACTTTCGTGTTTGGGTCGGCGCGTGTGCTTAACGCTAGCCCGACCAATTTTGACAGCGCTAGAAAAAAATAAAACACATGCATATTTAGAAAAACATCATTAATTAAACATTACAGCCGCCGTGAAGGCCGGCGAGAGTCCACGCGTCTACATTAGCATTTAAAAAAAATAAAAACAACCTAAACTACGAGGCAGCGCGCAGCCCTAGGCGTCGTCGTCGTCCTCCTCCTCCTCGGGGTCGGTGAGGTCGATGAGCGTCGGCGCAGGGCCGGCCAGGGTGTGATGGCCTGGATTATTAGGGATGATAAACTACTCATATCAATAAGGAATTCCTTCTTTTTCGGGAGCCCATTCGGACAGAACTCCAAAGTTAAGCGTGCTTAGCTTGGAGTAGTGTCAGGATGGGTGACCGACAGAAAAGTTTCTCCCGGGTGCGCATGAGTGAGGACAAAGTGCACAGAAAAGACTAGTATTGATCTGTGGGGCCAGTCTAGATCCCGCCAGGAGTAACGACCACCGGCGGGTGTGTCCGGGGCGTTACAAGTTGGTATCAGAGCCGATCCTCGCGGTTACACGGATGGTTGCGGACAGGTGCGTGGTCATGTTGTTCATGACGTTTGTGACTCATCGTGGCACCCGGCATGGCACATGTACCGGACTGGAAGCACAAACGTTTGTGTCAAGAGGGAACGTTCCTGTGGTCCGACGAGGACGTCGGTTTCTCTAAGTGGGGGTGTATGTGATGGCCTGGATTATTAGGGATGATAGACTACTCATATCAATAAGGAATTCCTTCTTTTCCGAGAGCCTATTCGGACAGAACTCCAAAGTTAAGCGTGCTTAGCTTGGAGTAGTGTCAGGATGGGTGACCGACCGGGAAGTTTCTTCCGGGTGCGCACGAGTGAGGACAAAGTGCGCAGAAAAGACTAGTATTGATCTGTGGGGCCAGTGTAGATCCCGCCAGGAGTAACGACCACCGGCGGGTGTGTCCGGGGCGTTACACAGGGGAACGCCGTGTTCCAGACGGCGGCGATGTAGGCCGCGGGCAGTGCTGGCGCGTGGGGCTGTTCCGGCGCAGGCTATACCGGCATGGGGGCTGTGCTGGCACCTGTGCAGTCGCGGCCTGGCGCGCCTCCTCCTCAGCCTCGCGCTGCTCCTCCTCGAGGTCGCGCTCGAGCATCTCCTTGTACTTGACGTGACAACACTCCTCGACCAGCCGCCGCTGGCGCCACATCTCGAGGTAGGCCGCCTCCTGCGCCGACGTCGCCCCATCCAAACCGGTGGCGCGGACACCCACTCGCGCAGTACTACTATCCAGGAGTAGCGCTCGATCGGGGACGGCTCCAGCTCCGGCTGCGGCTCCGGGTCGGCCTTGACGCGGTGTCGGGAAGGGGACGGCGAGGCCACAGGCGGCACCACGCAGTCGCCCGCCGCAGAGGGCAATGGCCTGCGCCATGGCCGCCTCGTATCGGACCTCGTCTTCCTCCGCCGCCTCCATCCTGCGCTGCTCGTCCTCCTCGCTCTCGCGGTAGACCGCCGCAAGGGCCCCCTGGTAGGTGTCCTCCGCCGCCTGGTCCTCCTCGCGGACGACGAGCGGGGGCGGCGGCAGATTGTAGTCGACCCCGCGCACGCCGCGGCGCCTCGCCTCCTCGTGCTCGAAGGCGAACCACCGCTTCCAGTTCGGCGAGTCGATGGCGTAGGTGTCGTCGCAGCGCTGCTCCAGTGTCAGCAGCGCCCGCCGGTGCCGCACCTCCTCCGCGTGCGCCCTAACCTACCGCGGCGCCGCCTGCACTAGGATCCTCTCTGGATCCAGATGCCAGTCGTGCGGCAGGGTGACGTCGGGGTACGGCAGAGGCACTTGGTGCTGCCAGTGCCACTCCGCCTGGTGCACTGGCACGTTCACGCGATGCCTCTGGCGGAGGCGGAAAGAGCTCTGATGGAAAAGGGACGGCGGGGGCCTTGCCCTTGGCCTTGCTGCTGCCGGCACCGGAGAAGAGTCCCATCTCGTTGTGGTGGTGGTGGCTAGGGTTTGCCGGCGAGGGAGAGCAGAGTTGGCTAGATGTGGACGCAAGTTTGGATGAGGACGGCCCTGCCGCACGGTCGGCTTAAAAAAGAACGACCGCCGTCGCTGACGCGTGGGCCCATGGTCATAAATTAAGCTGACCGCGTGGGCAGTGAGTAGTTGGACGGCCGCCAGGTGAGGACGAGGCGGACGCCGAGAAGGCGCGCGAGGCGTCCGTTCCGCGTCTGCGCCGACATATTTGGGGTAAATTTGAGCCGCAAATGCGTCGGCGCGGACACGAAGCGGA